GGATTCATTCCTAATGTCGGTATTAGAAGAGCCCCGCACCCAGTGGCTTTTGCGATTTTTCCCGGCTGCCATACACCCGCAAATGGCCATCGTTTCGTTGGCTGGAGAGGGGAGATAATGAAGGGCTAAGGGCTCCTCTGAGTGTATGATCGAATGAGGACTTGTGAGGGGTAGTAAAGTTTTAGAGGAGCTGTATGGAAGTCATAGGAGGGGAAATACTACTGGCATCGGTATCCCTGGCCCGATGGTAGAGAGGACCTGCATGTCCTACGTAGTAATAGACTCAGACAGGATAATAAGATCAAAAAAAGGTTTGAGTCGAGACCGTACTAGAAGTGAACTAAGGCTATATCAGATGTAATCATAACGCCAACTCCTCCATGTCTAACTGTCTGAATTTTCTCGGAAAACTTGACATTGAACCTTTTCCCGAAATCTTAATTCTTCAACCTTCTTCTTGGACCTTCTCCAGGGATTCCTACCTACAACAAATTCCGAGATTCTGTTTTATAAAAATAAAGCGAGAGTCTAGCTACGTCAGATTTGTATATAAGTGGCATATTTTATAAGGAAATCGTTCAACTGTCCTTTGTAGCTATTGATGGTGACATGAATTAAGATGATGATTGTGATTGAGATCGATTTCTATATAGTTTATTATACATGATATGCTCAGGTTCATATACCTCGAGCCAAGCAACCAGATTATGTTCCTCTAGATCTAGATTCATCAGAATAATTACTTACTCAGTAAAATTCTCCTAGTCTCAGTTGTGTGTTTAGGATCTTGACTAGGTTTCTAGTAACTAGTCAATGATGTTTCTCCTATCACTGAGACATAGTCAAGGTTGATGCAACAGGTACAAACGGTGAATCATGTCTATACATGACGTTGTGATATAGTCATAATCGTCTGGAAAATATCAATTCATGAATGACTCATGTCCCTACATGACATATTCTACCTCAAAAATCTTCTTGTTCTGAAGATTAAGTTATCAGCAGCTCGCATTGGTTTATCATTAATCATCTCTCAGGGAGCTTATCACTAAAGTTCCGTAGGGCACTAAGGGATATTGAGTATGATTATAGGATAGCACTGAACTGGTCTCCTGTAAGGAAGATAAATGCAAAGCAATACAATATGTTTACGAAATATAAGAAGACGTTGCGTGAAGAGAGAACACTCAAACGCTAACCAGACTATATACAGGATATTACTACTAGCGCTTCAGTATAGGAGGCGATGCGGTCACTACTTGTTTACCACCAGACCAACTAGAGGACGAAGGCTGAACACCTGTCAGTGGTGTCCTCTACGAACCTGGGAGTGAAATATTCTCCCAGAGGCCGAGATTCAGTCACGAAAAAGGGTGGGATGAATTTTTTTGATGGATTTTCGACTTGTAGGAGTTGCACACGATATTTTGGTCGATAAATCAGTCGACAGAGATTTCACAGCCGTAACAAAGTTGAACAAAAACTCATCACCACTAACATACGATTCACGAATGGATTTAGGTCTGTCTGGGGGTCGTATTCAAACATCCGACATCTCTTCAACTCCTTTTATACTTGCGACGAAGCATTTCTCAATCGATCCTACACCTGCAACCTACCTCCATACCCGTCCGATCACCTACCTACACACGCCCTAATGAGGAAAGTCATGATAGAAACGGGACGTGTACAAAGGAGGAAGAAGAGGGAAGATACGCCGAGGGGATTACACAAATCCCCAATGACGAAAACAATCCAACGGTACAATATAAAGGTGCAAGGCTAGAGCAACGATGAGATCTTGGACGGCATATGTATTTCGAAGTCAATGAGGATGTCAAGGGCTCGGGCGCGTGGTGGCCGAGGCTGAGGAGGAAATCGCGCTACGGCGTGTATACAGCGGGTTTCTGGACGGTTAGGCTTGGTATGATTCAACACATGGGTGAAGTCTGAGGTGGTCCGGTCATGAAAGTGGGACGAGGTTTATCTCTACTTCACGGTAGTTAACCTGATCCGGCCCAACCACACACGTGCTTAAACTCCAATAGGAGTGCAACGGTAGTCATGTTACCTAGCACGTTAATGAACAAAACAAAACAAAAACCACCAGACCAACTTTAACTTTCTAGACCCTTGCATCCGCACTCAAATTTTTTTTTTTTTTGCATCGGATTTTAATTGCGTATACCGCTATCTAGCTATGAGACAATATCAAAGAAAAGTATAGAATAGATGATTCAATTTAAAAGTAGAGCACTCATGCCTCAGATTTCATTTGCAAGTACCACTGCGAAGTTATGGTGGCTTTTTCTTCACCAAGTCAACCCTCATCCGTGAATACCCACCCAGGGGAACATCTCAAAAACCCTGAGTTATCCAGACATGCCTCCGTCATCTTTCAACTTTTCTCCGCGCGAAATATGGTCTGAGATATCTCCTTCCCAAATGGAGTAGGTGCCCAGGCTACTCAAAATATACCGGAGAACACCACCAGGAGGCGGACCACAACACCTTCCATCGTTTGCTTGTTTTTATAGTGTCAGCTGCACTCTCGCAAGCGAATTCTTGGCGCGCACAAAGCCCAATTCGAAAAAGTCCTTGCCAAAATTCGGAATCTCATGCCCTTCGAAGTTATATCCTTCCTTTGCATCATCTTGTCAACTTGTCCTAATCCCTCTCACGTCCATTCCAAAGAACTGTCTCCCAGATTTGTGCGCCACGCTTTGCTTCCTACGTCGGGTATAAATATCGGCGTGGGCGTGTATTTGGTGACCAGCTGAGGCCAGAGAAGGTCGAAGAGTGGTGTGGTCATTGGAATGAGGATGTACTTGGTCGTACTTGTAGACTCGATGAGACGAAGATAGGAGTCAAACTCGTTGGGAGCGAAATAACGACGTGGATGAGTAATTTGGATTTTTGCCTCGTGGGCCAACTTCTTTGATTTTGCGAAATTTGACTAAACTTGGCTCTGGGAGAATATTTCACTCCCAGGTTCGTAGAGGACACCGCGTACAGGTGTTCAGTCTTGCCCTCCATCCGCACTCACTACCTAGATTACCACGACCAAGCACTGCCCACATAGCATATTGCCACATAAACTGCGTCGAAAATAAACCTGTTGGAAATATCGCGCAATGAAATGGGCGCAATATTCACGGAACGAAAGTAGAAGTTGACTAAAAGAATGTCAAGTTCGGATTACGGCCAAAAGTGTGGGAAGTGTGCGCTACAAGTACAAGTGTAAGCGACACAGAGCCTAAGCCCCAGCATAAACGAGTGTGGCGCCATCTAGGCATAGAAAACCCCCAATAACCTCCTTGCGCCCACGCCATACAGCCGCTCATATGTCCAATAGGTAGCCTGAAGCGCTACCATATTACCTATTCCAACCTCTTAAATACACACGAGATCGTGTCGGGATCCTAGACGAAATGGAGGGCCCATACGTCCACAACACTCCGTGTCTCCATTTCCAACAAAACCAAATTAACTATTCCCCCCACTGCTTACCCATGAAATCATCCCTAAACCTTCTGTCGTAATTAAGAAAGCAACCTGACTGCAGTAGACAAATAGTTCATATAAAGTTGAAATCGGTAGTTTCAGACCAAGTCTTAAGCATCAAATGAAGGTAGAGATTAGTATTCTAGACGAGCAACGTGTGACATTAGATTTTGTGGTAATCAGAGACTGTCCTTTAGTAATTAAGTTGCTGCACAACTATCGATCTACTCCACTAAATTTTAACATATAAGAATAATATGTACTGGCGCCAATCGATATGATTAACCCATATCATCATTTGTTTGCGGGTGACTATTCTCAACACCTCTCAGTGTTGCCCCTTACGAAGCTCCAGCTCTCACAGTAGAGTCTGCAGAGCCAAGATTGAGTAAAAATATCCTCACTTCGATGTGGATTCTCAATCGCTTTCGCCGTCTGTATCGTCTTCGTCTCTCAACACATTCCCCCATCACCATTGTCATGAAGCCAACCACGATCAAATCAATTTTTGAGGTCGGAGACCAGCTTATCACCAACCCTTGATCACGGAGGAAAAGCCATCCAATGAGTTTCCGGAGCGTACCCAGCACCCGATACCGAGATGGTGGATCTGATCAAGTCGGCCTCGACTGTTACAAAGAAGGGAGATATAGATGAATATGTGCACATCATGTGGTCCCAGTGTCTAGACCTGGCCTGACTGGGGCTGCAGGTGTTTTTGAGACTTTTACCCGCGCACGCAGTTTCCATTTTTTCGGTTGAAGATTCTGTAGAATGGGTAGCAGAATTCCACTGGTAAACACGAAGTAGATTAGCTCTTCATCACGGACAATATATCAATGATCTCTCAAGTAACACGAGAGGCAAGGAGCACTGAACAAGGTGTGGCCTGGGTTAGAGAAAAGCCCAATGTGCTAGATAGTCCATGACTCGAGTAATACAATAAAAACATCAGAGTGAGCCATCAAAAGTTGCCTTTAAAGCCTAGCTAATCAATGGTCAAGCAGTTCGAAGCAGCCGGGCTTAAAATTGCGTTTGCTCCAGTGGCTTTGTTTGGGCGCGTCATCGTGGCCCACTTGGCTTCTTTGTCTATTACGCTTGACAACTGTGGGAGATTTTCGCAGTATCTCTCGATGGGCCCAGTATCGACGTCACTTTGGCTATTGAACAATAGAGGAGCAGGTCGCGCAATAGAATGGCTCGTTTTCCTGGATCCGAGACACATGAAAAGGATTTTGCACTAAGCGTGGGAAATTATCAACTCATTAGACGTCTTCACAGCACCGCCAAGAATATTCTTGAAGGAATGAGGAACGGTTGAGAATCTTTTTTACATTTAAATCTAGGAGCTGCCCAGACCTATTTGCATGGCATTCCAGTAATAAGGTAGTGAGGCTGGAAATATAAGTGTCTGAATTTGCCCTCGCTCCGTCAACCGTACAATTTGAATTTTATCTCATCCGAAAGGCTCCATTGGGTCCGAACGACCATTGATCATGCGCTTTTCTAGCATTGCTGTAATTTTTCAATGTGCAAACTTCCTTGGGTCGGCTCTCGCTGCCTATCAAACTTCTCATATTGCAGAGGATCGTAAAAAGTTTGACTGTAACGGATTCATTATTAAGTATGTTGATTATAGAGATGATTATTTTTTGGCAGCACGAAGTATTTTAAACGATGAACATCCCCATCCGACTTCGAGAGGCTTTATCAGTGATTATTTGGGGATTGGAAGCGATACAAGATTTGTTTTGTTTTTAGATGAGTCCTCAGTGGCTTTTTATTCCTCTGATCTCAGGATACCTATGAAAAGTTCGTTTTGTTGCTCCTTCGCATCGATGAGTCAGGTCTAACTGTTGTAATCAGCTGAAACAACCAACCGTGGCACACTACAAACCTCCTATTTTATTATACTCGATAACGAATCCCGCACAGTTGCCATGTTCATGAGGGTTACCAATACTCACACCGACAGATTTGGTGAAAGCTGGACAGGGACAAGCTATAATATATGTGGCATTGTTAGGAACTAAGTAGAAGATTTATCAAAAACAGAATGAATGGAGAAAATATAAGTTGACCTGTCTCGGAACCTAAGGAAAATGATATCTACACCAACCCATTTTTGCCTTGTTTGTGACGGTTCATTCATTTCTCTAGTTTAATATTCTTTGCAGTATCTATACACAGAACTATGATGACAGTGAGCCATGTTCAGAAGGGAAAGAATCTTTCAACAAAACAAGCCCACTGTCCTGCCACTCTGAACTGACCCGACTTAATGCTGAGGCCGTTCCTTTCAACCGCAATTATATAAACTTTCCCCAAATTTCATTGACTCCCCCTTCAATCAAACTAAAATCAAGAGAAATGAAAAAGAGAAGGTACTTCCGCACTCGGCGTTGGTCGTCGAAGTGTCTGAAGAGTTGGCCCCGATGGTGGTGCTGCCGCCGGGGCTTCGACTACTTTTCGCGGTCATTGCGGCCCTATTTCGAGCCCTTTGGTCTTCTTACTGGTGACCAAATTGGATCCTTGACCACATATCGTCCGAACTCTCTGTCAGAGTTCCGCAGAGGGTTTCTCATTCTAGATTTCCGCCGTTCTTGATAGAAGCTTCATTCGAGCCTTTTTCTCATTTCCTTTGTCGACTTGGTAAATCTGACATGCTGCTTTTAGTTATGAACAATGCTCCTTCTCGTCGCTTGCGCAAGAAGCTCTATTTGTCGGACAGTCACGAGTTTGGTTAGCGCCTGCGTACTCACCGTACCTGGCTACCTTTCCACACGACGCCTGTGTGTCTCCCCACTAGCTGCATTTGTAGCACTGCTTTGATTGGGCCGGCAGTGACCACAATTTTGCGGTAAAGAGCATGGCGTTTATGACAAGGCCCTGTCGAACTACCTCCGTTTGCACTGCCTCCGATGGGAGGCTGACCACTAATGTTCCGCGATTGCGACCGTTTTTCTTCGATCGCTAATGTTCCTTTCCGTCATGGAGCCATCGTATTCTACTTATCACTAGGCCTGGAATTCGTGCCTTTGTAGCCGTCTCTATCTCCCTGATGATGGCGTAGTTGTTAGCATCTCTGCCACCTTCAATTCTTGTCCGCAGTGGGACTCCGGTTTCTCGACTGGAAAGTCTTGCCACAACATTTTAGATTTCCGCTGTTTGTCGCATATTTAGCGCCGCGTCTCCCTGGGACGCCAAGTAACATGTTATGACGGGCCAGGACTTTCAGCTATTGCATAAAAACAATGCCACAATTAAATGTTTATATTTTCTATGAGGAATTCAAGAGCGAGAAGCAAAAGCTCTTTGTAACTACAATGCCTATTCCACATCCCCTGGCCCTTTACACGTGATCTAGTAATACTCCTGTATAGTGCGTAGAATTACAAACTCGCTTGTGTTATGGTTTGAACTTTGTTTAAGCTTAGGAGGAAACCTAAGCATTTAATTAGGATTAACTGAGATAAGACTGAAAGAGGAAGCATGTGTTAAACTTATGAGCTTTAGCAAAGATGGAGGTTGGAGCGGAATCAGTGTCGGCGGTCAGACTGATACAGTAAATATTGTATGAGGTTGTGAGAGGAAGATTCGAGTGGAAACAATTGTATCTATATGTATGGTTTAGAGTAAAGCCGAGATGATAAGAGTGAGATTGCGTGTTTGCATATCTTTTCAACTGTGGTTTTTGACCAGTTTTTATCAATCTCCATGGATTATAAGTTATGATCCATGAAGATGTAGATCTATGTACATAAGCATATATGGGCCAGGAATATAAAGCTAAATACACGTGTGTTGGTAATAGATACGAGAAAACTATAACCTGAATTTGAGACATAGTCTAAAGGATGAGGGTTTGTGTGTGAATATTGGCGTTGGTAGAGAAGCTATGGGGAAATTTACGGATATTAGTCACGTGGTGTCAGTTTAGCGTTGGGGTTTAAATCTGTTCATTATTCCGGCTAGATACAGAGATAGGATAGATATATGTTTAGATCAATAACCATTTTGTCCAATCTTTGTGCTAGCACATTAACTAGAACCGGTGATAAACCGACACTGATCAGTGATCTAAATTATCGGTCACAGATCCGTACGCGGTATTCATACGACGGAACGTCCCTTGGAGTCGTCGACCCTGTCTGAACTGAGCTCCGACGTGTCTAATTTAAGAAGTATTAAGTATTCGCTCTTCTTACTTCCGCGTCCATTAACTATTGTAATAACGAGGTTATGAGAAGTCTAAGAATTGTCACAATGGGTGTAACAGTCAACTTGGGTTGATGTAGGATAGCACTTTAAGTCTAACGTGAAGAAGACAGATATATATTGTAGATCTGCTATATTGATGACTATTGAATATAAGAGTGGAAAAGGTTGATCATATACAGAGGTCTAGCAGCGAGTATTTATACACAAAGACAATACATACAATATACCATCGATAGCAATAACTGCCAACCATTCAGCCATTTAACAACTATGTCATTAGATATACCTGCGTCATATTATCATATAATCATGTATGGTTGAGATACTGGTGTTGTCATTGCTGTGTGCCGATGACGTATCATTGACGCAGGGTCGCTTGTCCTGTTGGTTCACTTGCCCAGTACTAGCCATTCCAAGTTGTGTGATCTATAAGTGGGTCTGATCACAACATTAACGCACTCTTTTATTCAAGCATTAACCGGGAGAAATTCCCTAGTCTTGCTTCGCGTCAATCACGCAAAAATCAAACAAATAATGTCTTTCAAGCCATTCTCTTCTACTCCACCTAAATTCGACTCTGACAAACCAATAACAACTTATGTTCAGAATAAACTGGATCTCTATAGAGCGAAAGGTGTACGAGATGATCCTATATAGGAAAGATGGGTGGAAGACTTCGAGGACTGGGATGTTGATCTCTTTAGTAAAGTTGACTCGGAACTCAGGAGAGAATTCTGAGATAATCTCATTTCTCGAGGAATTTATATGACACCAAATCCGAAGGGAAAACATATTGATCAACAACTTGCAGCAGAAGTTAAGAGAGATGATTTCCATGAATGGACTCCCGAAGAAATCGCATTCTATCAAAAGAAAAACCCATTAGGGGTTAGCTCACAGTGCGACCCAAAAGACCCAAGCTACAAGGAATACAAACGTACAATCCAAGCAGTGTTGGATTATGAAAGGACGAAAGGAAACATCTACAGGGAAATTAAAGAAGAAAATAGAGATGTTCCAGTTAAGGAGAAAGAAGAAGAAACCTACAGCAATCCCACAAGTCAAGGAGACAAGGGAAATAAATATGGAGGCAGTAGTAATGAAAGAGACAATCGCTCTTTGTCATATGCACCAAAACAGCAACCATACCCACAAAAAGACAATTCTCTTCCACGGGAGGATCGTCCGCTTCATAAAAGTAGGCAATTGGAGTCTCTCGTCAGAATGTACAAAGATGAGGATAAATATAGAGATGGGACTGATATTTTCGACTACAAGCGAAAAATATTTTTCAATAATTGTAACAATGCTTGTGTCGAGAAAAGATACTTTAAAGATGCGTTAGCTATAATGTTTGCCGGAGATGCTAGTGAAAAATACCTGGACTTAACACTGCACATTGAGGACATGTCATTTGACGAGCGTTGTGATTTAATAAAGTCACACTACGAGACAGTCCAGTGGGTAAATAGACGGGAAACGATCTGGAATACTCTCAATCTGATCGAAGAAATTTGAAAATTTCCAGACAAGCTCCAAGCATTTAATAATCTCGAAAGAGAGTTAAGACGCGTTCAAATAGGACTGGAAGTACATTCAGGAGACGCAGCTCTACGCATTAGGATTATCAATGCCTGTTCTGGAGTGGTCGATTTACACTTTGTGTTATTCTCCCTGGCAAAGACTGCTGAAGGCGTTAGCGCCAATATCCGAGCTCGTTCCATGCAACTTTCTTCATCAGGTATAGCCACCAGCCAATACCTGCAGCATAAATTCAATGAGTTTCAGTAAACTGATAATGCCTACCTGGCAGAGCATCAGTACCAAACTGCTCGGGGATCTGGAAGAGGCCGGAGTGATAGACATTTTTATGAAAGAGACAAAAACAATAGTAGAATAAAAGAGTCAAGTGCCTCATCATCTTGGGCTAAGCGCTGTTTAATTTGTAAGAAGGTGAATTTTTGATCGACAAATCACTCTGCAGAAGAACAACAGGCAGCATTTCAAAAAATTAAGAAGATCTGCCCGTCAAAAGATGAAGGTGCCGTTCGGCAGTTCATTGTCCAATTCGAAGGACAATCCAAAGATGCGGAGTTATATCAGTTCTAGGCTATTTAAGACCAGCCTGATGAAGCTGAAACCAGTGATGAGAGCTGGTATGATAATAATACCAATCAACATCTCATTGATGAAATTTGCGGAGAAAATTATGTGGCCTATCTTCAAGAACAAATTGCTAGACACAAGCTCATAGCACCTAGGATGAAATATGCAGTATCTAGACAGGAACAAGGGAGTATTTCAACAATTGACTCATTTAATTTCGATTTGGACCTCAATAGCAACGTTCTTGATTTGGATTTAGAAACAGCAGAAGAAGTTCACTTAGGTGGAAAGATTTTTTCTTTCCAAACTACTAAGAATGACAGATACGACGAACGAATCTTTCACAGAGTTTTAATTGATACAGGCGCTGCTGGGTGGTCTACAGTTGGATTTGGACAGGTTAGAGCGTTACAGCAAATTCAAAAGGAGTTTAAGATTGATAAAACAAGGGCGGGAGAGGTAAAAATTTCGGGAATTGGGAATGGCGTATTTGTTTCTATTGGTTCTATTACCCTTGATACGCCCATTGGCAAAGTTACTTTTCATATTTTACCTTGCAACACACCTTTCTTACTTAGCCTATAAGATATGACTCGTCTAGGCGTTACTCCAGATATACTGAAAAACGCCATGATGAAAGATCAAAGGCCAGTAGCAGCTCTCATTCAAAAATACGGTCATTTAATGATGACTCTCAGTCACTTTC